GCCTTGCACGTGCCTTCAACTAGTTATAAACTAAATTGGCTCTTCTGATTTTTATCATTAAACTTCAATTAATTAACGTGCTTCTCTCTAATAATTATTTACATCCAAATATTCTGCTAATGCACATTTAAACAAGGGTCAAAATTTTGTCAATTTTTTTAATTTTCAATTATTTAGAAATACGAGGTGTAAATAAATCTTTCACCACCCTCCTTACAAATTTTTTGGACGTAAAAGGCCAATAGAGACTGGAAGTGCAAATAAATTGAACATTGAGGATCAGAATTCGACGATAAAAAGTTGATATCACTAGGTCGAATATACGGTGAGACCACATTTGTCTCAATGCGCCGTTATTACCAGAAAGCAGCACTGGGTAATGGAATTATACAGTGTGCTTTAAGGTGTATAAATTCATAAAAAGTGGTCTAATGTGTATAAATTCATAAAAAGTGGTCTATATACTATTGTAATGTGTGTCGATTTCACAAAGAATTTGGAAAATAATCTCTAAACAGAACGCAAGAAGTGTCACGCAAAAGAATCGAAGCTCTCCTATCTTAACATAAGCCAAAAGAGTTGCTATAAAGAAACGAGAAAAAAAAAAAAAAAGATATATAATAGTGTGAGAGATCTCCACATCTATTTTGACCATGCCACTGAATCAATCTCAGCTTGAGCAGCTCTATATAACTCCAGTCTCTTTGCAAGAGAGACCCGTCGCTGCATAATAGCTGGATCCTCGTCCAAAAGTTTGCCTAATTGATTCGCCTGTAAAGCCACATTAACAGTTTTTCATAACCTTGAATATTCTCACTGCATTCACCGGGTTGCTGGAGAACAATATAGGAGACGGAATTCTTACCTCTCTTTTTCCCAACTCGGCGAAGAAATGGTCGAGTAAGCTGCGTTTTGCCTCACGAACTTGACAATAAACGATAGACTTTGGAATGGAATTCTTCAGACCACCACAAACCATATTGACATAAGACAACACAGTCGATCCTGTTCAAGAAGCAAGAAGCCCATTAAGGAGGTGATCATGATGCAAGTAAGAACATATAGTGCATGCTCGGTATTCATGTCGAATATTATCCAATCCTCCCTACCAAACATGGAATTAAAAATCTAAAAATCATACAAGTGGAACTGAAAGTGACACACTTACCAATACGTCTGAGATATGAGTCATTGTATCTATCAAATAATGAATGAGTTGGATTTCCTCCCTTATCCATATCTTGAGGAAGCTTGCGGAAGAAATCTACAGTTAAGTAACTGCACTCCATTTCAACTAGCTGTAGAGTTGCTTTCTTGCTTTCATCCCTCATCCTCTCTAACGATTCAACAGCTGCATGCCCAACCTCCACCCTAAGAGAGGGATACTGCTTCAGCTCCTGNTTTTTTTAATAAATTTGCCTTTTTTTTTCTAATTCAATTTTTTTTTTTTTTAAATCTAGCACGAGCCATTTAGGCACGTGACACGGGCCGGCCCGGGCTCGGGCCAATGCCCCAAATTGGGGCTCGGCCCGAGCCTCGGCTCGGTTACACCGAGCCCGAGCCCGAGCCCGAGCCGTCCGAGCTCCCAAGCTTTTTTGTCACCGCTAAGTTTTCGTTGTGTTGTGGTTTTAATACTGACAATGACTCTTAATTTGTCCTAAATTCTGCACTTTATTATCATTAAATAATTAGTTTTGACAACATACGTCTTGCATAGAGTCTTGATAAAGAAATTAAATACCGGTGCAACTGATACATGTAATTGGAGATTCTATGAGCACGAGATGAAGGAGACATAATGTCTTACCTCAATAGCTAGTAAAATGAGGGTTAGGTTGAACTTCATTATCTCTTTAGCAAGGCATAAATACCTAATCATCTATGCATTGTCTTTTTTAAAAAAGAACAGAGAGACCTTCAAACACAAAGTCTAGAAAATAAACTTTGAATCAAATCTCTTAATATTGTTTTTGTCACATGCCATAATTTCAAGTGTTTTAAGTTTAATGTAACTAATGTTTAAGACAAATATTTTTTTTTTATATTTACGCTATCATATAACTAAATATATTATAGTGCACTGCACGTGCGCCTTACTAGTATTTTATTATATATAAATGGGAGAATATTCATAACCCATAATGTCAAACTTATCTTTTAGTTTCCGACAATACCCCCCATGGAAGCTTTGGCGTGTTAGAAATAGACCAACAAATGCCATTTACGCCCCCTCTCAACTGTCCTCGCCCGCCAAAATTACCCCCACCTCTCTCTCTCTCTCTCTCTCTCCCCCCCCCCCCCCCCCACCCCCCTCAACAGCCACCCAGAAAAAAAAAATGAAAGACAGGATAATGAACTCTGCTCTATAAGCATAGTGTAGCAACTTTTTTCTGCAAATAACATGTCTACTTCTAAGCCCTTGTTTGGCTACTGTTTATAAACGGTTTTTTATCCATATATTTCTTGGACCTACAAGTATCCACTTAACCACCACGTATTTTCATCTATTTATAATTTAAACTGTTTATAACAACTCTAAAACATGCTTTACGTAATCTACCAAAATATATTAAGAACAAAGGAACAGAAAGTGAAAGGACTGAGAAGTGCAAAGGGAAATGAAATATGGCTACAAAGCATGGAAAACCAACTGTAATAGAAATTTATACCGCATCAACAGACGCCTCAGCAGGACCTTTAATAGTAACCAAGGCAGTTTCAATGAGACGACGATAACCTTGTTCAGGTGCTATAAGATGAGGCTGATATCCATCTGCTTCAGTTACTAATTTCCGTACATTTTCCATTGCAAGATGCTTGTCAAACTGCAACCTTTTCAATGCAGCAGGCAGTTGGTTATCGAAGACATTATATATTTTATCACCACCGGATCGACTGCAGAATTTCATGATAATAAAATGAAAATCGGGATGGACTGAATCACAAAATGAGATCATACATTAGAAAGATGGGCAACGAAAATTTAAAATACATACACTCCGTCTAGATGTTCTTTGAATATTCCATCAAAGATACGAACGATTTCCATAATCATGTACAATTTTCCCTGCATTGATAATTAAGGGTTAAAAAGATCAAAATGCTTCATGCAGCTAGCACAGATTTGAAGCAAATTTAAAAGAAAGCATGCTAATTAAAAAAAAAACCACATTAATAAATCTAGAACTAATTCATTGAAAGATCGTGAACATAAATTTGAAAAGGAATAAATGGGAAGGTATACTTACTCCAGCATCTGTAGCAACGGGCCTCCCTAGACGACTCAACTCAGATTCTAGCTCAATGATAGTTTTGTTAATAAGTGATTGCAGTCCTGGAATTCGAGATTTGATAACAGACTCCAAATGCTAGAACATAAAGCAGTAGTTATCAGCAAATTTATACCAAATATTAAAAAGAAGAAATGCTCGATTAATCTGTAAATTACCCCATTTTATAAAAAATTTCATTGCAAAATCTACACAAATATATTTTTATCTATCATTCATATTCATATTCCCAGAATGGAGAAAATTATTTCTTCAATCAACAAAAAATTATGAATAAATCCATTTATGACACCAATAATACGTAAATCAATTAAGAAATGCATGCATATCACAATTTTTTTGTTTGTACGGCAATAGAAAAAGCTTAAACCATTAAAAAAGCTTCAGAGAATGAATGGATGCATTTACGATGTTTCTGGAAATAATGGAAAAAGGCAAACAGCACTGTTTTCCTACATTCTGTATATTCTTGGCTGGATATAGAACGTAAAAGTGTACCACGAAATATCAAATTGACATGCCTTCAAAGAACAGGTTTTTCAAGAGAAGATTCTATAAGAAAACTAGAAAAATTTCATTTGGTTTTAGTTAGCTTTTCTTAGAATATAATGGGGAAAAAAATCTGTAAGGCACAATATATTCTTACTTTGGACAGAACTTTGCCAAGATGCTCAGAACCCATCCTGTGAGCAAGATGTTTATACTCTGGGGTTTGAGCAAAATATTCCCGCTCTCTACGCCTAGCAGCAATCATGTCGACATTTTTGTTAATGTCTGCTTGAGAGCGATTAACAACACCTATCCATGGGAACTGCAGCCTATACGCCTTTCCTTCCAGAATCTAAGAATTGCAGAAATACAAGTCAGGAAATGCAACCTTTAGTCCTTAAAAATTAGGAAAATCATTCTATGACATAAAACTTTTCTACTGAAACTTCTTAAAGTTTAAATATAGAACTTCATACAAGAAATGGTTTAGGAAAGATTTAGCCGAACAAGCAGCAAATGTTTGTAAGAGTATATTTAAAATAAAGCATAACATGTATGTCCATCAGAAAACATGATTACGTTAAAAGTAGCTATAAAAAATAATGCATAGTGCATGAAGAAAATGAAAATTGAGCGTGCACACTTAAAATAGTTATGCTTTTTTGTTATTCTAGCACTTCCTATAATATGATGGGTTACATACTAGAAGTGTAGATATTTTCCAAGAGAACATGGCGCCAATTATGGATCAACCTAGGAAATGACAGATTAGGTGGATGGAGCATGTCTAGTTTAGATATCAGAAGAGCTCTTGTACATAAGTTTTAATAGAACAGATAGAAAGGAGAGGTAGACACCAAACAAAACACTGCCTAATGTGGCTGTAAAAGATGAGATTTTAATGGACCCTTTAGTAGAGGTAGCACTTATTAACCTGAGTTGCGAAAAATAACTCCTGTTACCAACCCAAGTTCATAAAAACAAGCCTTAGTTTGTTGTTCCTCGTTATGGTTTTTCCCACAAGTACCATTATTAGATTAGCAGTATCAACTTACATCAACAGCATCAGTACCCTTGTCCATAAGATCGATCTTCGTTAGAACTCCAAATGTTCTTTCTCCTGGAATAAGATCATCACAAAACCAACAACAGTGCAAACTGAACTAATCAGTACTAAGTGGTAGTGTAAGAACAGACTGATCTACGTAAAAACTTAAACATACTGATCGTAAACTGCAATAAAATTCAAAAGAAATACACTTCCATGTCCCCCCCACACACACTATATGATAAATGTCATACCTTTTGGGTCTACTTCACGAGAAATCTTGATTGCATCTGAAGTTGCAAGATCTTGATTGGCAGGAGAAATAGCCAAAATAATACAGTTTGGCTGCAGTGAATTAATTTAACCAGAAAGTATTATTTAACTAAGCTCATCTTAAACTAAAGTCTAATAATAGTATATTATAATTGTACGTTCTCATTAATGTTTTCACAAATTTTATGGTCAAAGAAATCTCAAATGTAGAATACCTTCTCAATATATGTCCGGACCATGTTCTCAATATCATGCACAACGCTTTCCGGCTGACCATCTATATGATTAACCAGCAATAAACCAATCAGGTTGTGTGATAAAGGGAAGAGTAACAGTAAGTATGAAAAAAAAAAAAATAGGGAACGTAAACTAACCAATAGCCACTTTTGTAAGTCCGGGAAGATCGATCAGGGTCAAATTCACAACTGCAATAATCAGAAAAGCACAAATTACTCACTGCACACAAAATACAAAACGAGGGAAAACAGTAATGTCACATTCATTAGAACCCCAGAAATGGACAACAAAACTCTGGCCATTATTTGAAAGCATAACTTAACAAGCCAAAAAGAAAAATTATATATATATAATAACAATAAGAATAAGAATTAAGAGAACAACTACAACTTCAAGACATAAATCCATAGATAACAAAACAAAGATCATTAATAGATATATTTAATAAACAATAATCAGCATGATCAAATGTATCTCACATACATGGTTTTGCCAGAAACTTTCTTTAATTATTTACCTGCTTTACACAGTCTGAATGTCCCACATAATTGCATGCCTTACAAGGAAATATTATTTATTGTTCTCTATTAACTTATCTATTTTTTTGGGGAGAAGTTTGGATAAGAGGGTAAAACATGTTAGCTGCTGCTGCTAATACATTAAATTCGTACATATTGCCATTGCTTCACCAGAAGCATTTTCATCTTATTTCTGATCTACTTCAACCAACATGGTTGCAGTTCTCAGATTTCACAAGGTTGATTCAATATATTGTGCACAGGGAATTGAATATGCGCAAATGAAAAATAACCAGTAATCCTTCCTGTCTCACCATTAGGGGAATAAATACTGAGATAAATTGGAACACTAGAAATTTGTTTGCTACGTCCAGTCTCTCGATCAGTCTCATCCGAGATCTCCTTTCTCACAGCAGCTGCACAGAATATACCAGAGATTAGTCTCCAGAATGAAAACGAAAGAAATGATCAATACAGTTGCATAACTTTTTGGATTACCCAAGATTAACAAATTTGTCCATAATATCATGATACATGTTAATATTTCTTGATTGGTTGATGCTACGGTCTACATAGAATTTGAAGAAAAGGGTTTAAAATTGTTATCAGTTACTTTTAATGATGTTATTAACTAAATTATCTTATATCCTCCATCTTTATTGAGGAAAAAGTAGATCTAGCGAAAAAAAAAAAATTTATTTTTGTAACAAAGAAAATTAAGATTACATACCATATATATGAGAAAATACAGTAGTATGGAGTTTATTGTCTTGTGCTATTCTTTTGTCGACAAAAAATGAACGAAGAAAAGCTTTCACTAGAAAGCCATCATGTTTTTCACAAGATTTATCATAACTCTTGTCAACATTCTCACTATAGATATTTCCAGGTCTTGTCACTAAAAAGCTTCTCCAACTGATAGAATGTTGAGCCGATGATATAAAAGAGCAGTTATCGAGTCTCATCAAAACAGTGAATTAATGGATCCTGGTACATTCTCATTTATGTGAGCTACAACAATTAACTGTTTACACTTTGTTCTAGCACCCAAGCACACCTATTGGTCAAGTGTTCTACCTCCAGTTGTCCACACCATTCACTCTACAAAATAGATTTCATGGAAAACCAACTACATCCTAGATTAGCCTTTGACCACGAGTCATTCCATAGTTCTACATAAATAGATTTCTCATTAAATTTCCCAATTGAGAAATCTTTATTGGTGGCTGGTGCAGGTGGTATTTGAAAACAATTAGACGTTTGAATTGTTCTGGAGAATTATTTGATAGAACGGAGAGCAAAACGAGTCGATAATCACTGAAATTGTCACTTGATATCAATTAGAATACCAAATTCCAAAATTTCAATTAGATTGCTGAATTCCAAATTGTTGCGACCAAGTTATCAAACTTATGTTCTATTTCAATCAAATCTCTCTATAACATAAGTTGTGGGAAAACGACATTTACTTAATCACAAAATCCCTACATCGAGACCGTGACATGTTCCCTTTCGGTAGGATTGATGAAATGATGTGATTCAAATAAAAATAGAAGTTTGATAACTCGATTGCTAAAACAGAACATCGGCAACCCTGTTAAAATTTAGTGATAACTATAATAATTAATGTGGCCTTCTGCCAATAATGGTGGATTTAGAAGGAAAAATAAAAGACTAGTGGGGAAACGATGGAAAGATTGAAAAGTGAGTCGCAAGCATCCCTTAACCAATTTATTTAAACAACATAGAGCTTCAACGATTGATTCTATGTCTATCACAAGTTTTTCTCCAAAGTCCATGTTCTCAGTAGTACTTCATGGTCATAATACGGCGTTGAGGGTTTCCAATAGTAAAATTAGCTAATATTATATGTGAAATACTTCAGAGGGTTATTCAAGGCCAACTTATGCTGTTAAATAAGAGTGCCCACCCAGCATAAATTAGGCATTCTAATCCACATTGTCGTGGAGCAGCATGATATTTGTTTACGTCCTTATAGTTTGTACAAAATTCAATGTAGGTTTTGACTGCCAAAAGGGGGTTGGCAAAAACCCAAAAATCAAGTGATAATTTAATATGACTGCCACACAAGCAATGGCTGGCTAAGGAAGTTAAGTTCCCGACAATGAAATTACCAAATAAATAAATAAAATTTATAATAATAATGAAAACTCACCAAAATCAGTGAACCTTTTTCTCGGAAGATGTCCAAACTCAGCATATTCTCTACCTTCGTCAATGCGATGAAGCTGTAGTACAAGAGGACGTCGAGTAACAATCCCTGCATATTTTGCATAAAATTAATCTTCATGACTTCAGTCTTTCATGTGGCAACAGAGAAGGTAATTTTAAAAACAAGTAACCAGAAACAGATAGCAGCCAAAACATTGAGGTTGCAATTTACCAGATCCACGAGGCAAAAAGTCCTTTCCAACAATGCTCTCGAGTACTGAAGATTTTCCAGAACTCTACAAATTAAATACAATGAAATCAGTTTCCACAAAATGTTAAATGACTAATCAAAGACATCTTTCAAATAGAGTACAATTTTGTTTACAAGAAAACAGTTACTATATCATCAAGAGCAAAGACAGAAATATAGATCCTAACTACAGTTGATCTGCATTACATATTCACAATGCACCCAGTAAGGTGAAATAAATACAGAACCCCATGGAAATCACACCATAAAATCATTTAGACATGTTCTCATAATCCTTTTGATATCAAATGTGAAATATCATAAACTTTCAGGAAAAAAATTCAATTGCACCTAAAAGTGATCCCATACGTGTTGAAATACCAAAACTTTTGTATCAGCTTCAAGTCGTTAAACAGCTTTCAACCTAATGATCACGTGCCAATATTTTCAAGATTCTTAGATATATCAAACCAAATTCACATAAGCATATATCAAAATCGAGAAATTAGTGGCTACACATTAAAAATACCAGGACAATGGAAAACTTAAACTGAAGGGTGAAGGCTAACTAACATCAATTTCAGCTAAAACTGAATATCTGAATCCCAATTAATATAGATTATCAACATAAATAGATAGTTCTCTACGAAGATCTACATAAACTATAAACATGTCTGACGAACGCAAAAAAGAAAAAGAAAATCAAACGGTTCTTAGGTCATACAAATCAATAACAATATACATAATTTTTTGACATATAATACAATTTACAAAAAGTAACTAAGAAATTAATGAAATTTCTCAGACCTGACCACCGACGACGGCTATGGAAGGCAGCGCATCCCAGAGAGTAGGCAAAGCGCTGTCTTCTCCATTATCTCCGAGTGCAGTGCAAGCTCTCTGCAGTCTGTTCACCAACGATATCAAACTTTCCATTATTGTTCCTTAATTGAACTCAACACCGAGTCAAAGATGAATGAGTTGACTCGGTAATCACCGGTGTACTGTAAATCCACAAACTACAATCCGATCTAGGAACGTGATCGAGAGAATCTAGAGATAGAAAGAAGAGCGTTAGTAAAGTAGGTGTTGAATCGGAAAAGAAGATTTTTTTAGAAATTTAAACGTTGAACCGCGTGGACGTCGGTGGGTGTTTAACACTTCAACAAATAATCAAGCCTCGTTCGGTTTTGTTGAAAAATAAATTTTTAATAAAAATTGATGAAATATACTCTTAAAAATTTATAAAAGTAATGGATGTTTGATTCCCAATTTTTCAAAAATTCATTTTCAATCATACATTCTCATATAAAATAATATTATACATTAATCCAATTTTTATTTTTTATTTTTTAATCACACATTTTTTAATGAAATACTATTTCAAAATACATTTTGGTCCAAAAATGGGGCTCCAACAAAAACGAAATGTGAAATATGTGGTTAAAATTAATTATTAATTTTGACTTAAAATTTATAATACTCATTTTAAAACACGTTTTTCAAAAAACCATTTTTCATATTTTCTCATAATATTTTTTAATCACACATTTTCTAAAAGAATTACTTTCATAAATATACATATTATGGCCCTGTTTGAGCCAAATTATTGTAGAATGAGAATGAAAAATATAGCCGTTATTGAGGTCCACATAAGAAATAGAAAATTTGAATTTAAATGTTCATGTGATAAATAACGATCATATTTTTTATTTTAATGAGATAATAATGTAGATCAAACGGGGGCATAGTTTTTATAGAGGTTCATGAATGTGTAGTTTTGTCGTGAATAGTCATAGAATGTAGGGTTGGGCGAACCGAATCGGAACCGAACCGAACCGNACCTGACCACCGACGACGGCTATGGAAGGCAGCGCATCCCAGAGAGTAGGCAAAGCGCTGTCTTCTCCATTATCTCCGAGTGCAGTGCAAGCTCTCTGCAGTCTGTTCACCAACGATATCAAACTTTCCATTATTGTTCCTTAATTGAACTCAACACCGAGTCAAAGATGAATGAGTTGACTCGGTAATCACCGGTGTACTGTAAATCCACAAACTACAATCCGATCTAGGAAATTGATCGAGAGAATCTAGAGATAGAAAGAAGAGCGTTAGTAAAGTAGGTGTTGAATCGGAAAAGAAGATTTTTTTTTAGAAATTTAAACGTAGAACCGCGTGGACGTCAGTCGGTGTTTAACACTTCAACAAATAATCAAGCCTCGTTCGGTTTTGTTGAAAAATAAATTTTTAATAAAAATTGATGAAATATACTATTAAAAATTTATAAAAGTAATGGATGTTTGATTCCCAATTTTTCAAAAATTCATTTTTAATCATACATTCTCATATAAAATAATATTATACATTAATCCAATTTTTATTTTTTATTTTTTAATCACACATTTTTTAATGAAATACTATTTCAAAATACATTTTGGTCCAAAAATGGGGCTCCAACAAAAATGAAATGTGAAATGTGTGGTTAAAATTAATTATTAATTTTGACTTAAAATTTATAATACACTCATTTTAAAACACGTTTTTCAAAAAACCATTTTTCATATTTTCTCATAATCCTAGGTCCGCCCTTGGATGTACTGTTACGCCTTGTGTTGTGTTGTGCACAATATTAAACTAGCTCATTTTTGTTTGCATCGAATGCATGAAATAGACACATTTTAACCAAGACTCTCTATTTTAACTTTTTTAAAATAGGGAGTGAATTTAAATCTCTAAATTTAGAGAGTCAAACTCAATCTCTATTTTTAATACACAATGATTGCATTTAATAAATTACATATTTTAAAACTATATTTTTTATTATGTTGAAACCACGTTTAAATTGATTGACCAATTGACATATAAAAGATTATATTAAATAAAATATGAAAATAAATCAAGAAATGTTTCTTGATAAAAGAAAAATGAAGAGTCAAAATAAAGAACTCGTTGTAGTGTATAAAAATTGACTCTCTAAATTTAAATGTACTCTCTATAATGCAAAAAAAAAAAACTTTTTATAAATAAATAATTTCTTGGAGATGAGTCACATTAATCAAGTTAAAAAAAAAATGTCACATGCAAAAAACTTTAGTAGCATAATAATGTAAAAGTATACATGAAAAAAATACTCTTAAATAGGAGGTTGACAATTTGGAAGTTAGAAATAAAAGTGAGCTTCGAAAAGTTGTTTAAATTATAAATATATAGAAATAATTGATTAATAAGTAGATAGTAAGAATAATTCTACAAAATATATAAAAAGTTGTTTGAGAAATTATATTCAGCCAAACAAGGTAGTAAACAAATGAGTAGAGAACTCCACAAAGCATATTCCCTGATCCATATTACATTACAGGCTAACAGGCCTCAAAATGGCATCTACTGTACATAAAAAGCATCGAGCAAATCCCAAATTCACGCCCACCCCCACACACAAAGGAAATAAAGCCAAATCCCAACGCCCCAATCTATGCTCTCCACATACCTCAAGACCCCTTGAAAGTTCCATCTCATTCAATGCAGAGTTCTGTTATTGTACTGTTTTCATGGACTCTCCTCTACTCGTAAACTCCCCATTAAAAGCCTTTAGTTTCTTGAATTTCTCTACTTCTACTGCTTCTAGTTCTTCAAATTATACTTATTTAAATTACTCTGCTTTTTCTCTCTCCAGAATCAAGAAGTCCCACAAATTCAACAAATCGGGAATTGCTGTAAGTTGCTTGAATCCTCGAAATCCTAACTTGTTATGGGGAGATTATGGCTCACCCATCAAACCCCTTTCTTATTTAATCCCATTTTTTCACAAAGTCAAGGACTTTGCTGTGAAATCATCAAAGCAGAACTGGACTTCTGTTTTCCAGAAATTTAGCGGGCAAGAAACTTTGCGGAATGGGTCATTAGGAATGGCACTCATGTGTGTGACATCAACAGCCAAGGTTAAAATAAGCCCCTTTGTGGCTACATTAGCCGCCAACCCGACTTTTGTTTCGGGTTTATTTGCTTGGGTTATTGCTCAATCAGTGAAGGTTTTCTTGAATTTTTGTGTAGAGAGGAAATGGGATTTTAGGATTATGTGTTCCTCCGGTGGAATGCCCTCTTCTCACTCTGCTATGTGTACTGCATTAACTACTTCTGTGGCTATTTGCCACGGAGTGGCAGATTCTTTGTTTCCGGTTTGTTTGGGGTTCAGTTTGATCGTAATGTATGATGCCATCGGTGTTAGACGGCATGCTGGAATGCAAGCGGAGGTAATTGTTTGATCTAATGCATCTCATTCATTTCACAATTTATAATCAATTGTTTGTTCAAATTAGTATTACTTTCTGACTTGTATGTATTGGTATATAATCTGAACATTTGGGACGTTAGAACCAGATACCAATATACTTGTGATTTGAACTATGTAGACAAACTTCTCTAAAAAGTAGTTTGTAAGTTACTTTTAGGCACAGCAAAACATATTGGTGATCATACATAGCATATCTAAGAGGATTCAAGGAATTTGTTGTACAATCATGCTACTTGTATAACTAGTTTGGCAATGTGTGTTGGCAGGAATCTTGGCCAGGATCTTTACACCTCACACATTGTCAAGCTAGTTGTACAAATTTATAGTACAATCGAACGTTCCATATGATTCAATGTGAATTCTGTACCTGTACTGATTTCATGGACTCTCCTCTACTCATAAAATCCCCATTAAAAGCCGCTAGTTTCTTGGATTTCTCTACTAGTAGTTCTGTAAATTACTCTGCTTTTTCTCTCTTCAGAATCAAGAAGTCCCAGAAATTGGAAATTTTTGTAGATTGCTTGAATCCTCAAAATCCTAACTTGTTGTGAGGAAATTATGGGTCACCCATCAAACCCTTTTCTTATTTAATCTCATTTTTTTCACAAAGTCAAGGACTTCAGTATGAAGTCCTCAAATCAGAACTGGACCTCTGTTTTTCAGAACTTTAGTGGGCAAGAAAATTTGGTTTTGCAGAATGGGTCATTTGGAATGGCACTTATGTGTGTGACATCAACAGTGAAGGTTTAGATAAGCCTGATTGTGGCTACATTAGCCGCGAACCCGACTTTGGTTTTGGGTTTATTTGCTTGGATTATTGCCCAATTAATGAAGGTGTTCTTGAATTTTTGTCAAAAGAGGAAATTGGATTTTAGGATTATGTTTGCATCAGGTGGAATACCCTCTTCTCCTGGTCCCGTATTTCTGAGGTACATCGTTGTCTTGACTACTCTCGCCTAGGGGTAGGTGATTCAATCAATAGGAATTTTCTCTAGAGTGCTTAGGCCAATTATCTTTTTCAAAATTAGTGGAAACACGTGAATCGGGATAGCAGTGGCCTGGGATACCATTCCATTTGAGCAACTAATAAAGGGTTCCACAATAGCCAAGGCCAAGACCAGAAGAGAGAGTCCTACCATCACGAGGGAATCGAGATAAAGAGATGGCAAGCCGGAAGGACGACGGGAGATGATCGTTCGGACAGGAGATGTGGACGAGTTTTAGCCTAGCTCCAAGAAGAAGGTATGCAACCTATCTTGCATGCTCGATTGAGTTGTCTGAAAGCCTCTACTTGAGAGCAAGACCAGAACTTGGTTCCCTTTTTGACTAAAACTTTCAGACTGCTAGTATTAAAGGAGCTTACTTACCTCACCCTGCCTCGTGTACTGCATTAACTACTTCTGTTGTGGCTATTTTCCACGGAGTGGTGGACTCATTGTTTCCGGTTTGTTTGAGGTTTAATTTGATCGTTGTGTATGATGTTGTTGATATTAGAAAGCATGTAGGAATGCAAGCATTTCTTTCGTTTCCCATTTTATAGTTACTTGTTTATATGAATGTGTTATTTTCTGAATTGGATGTATTTGTATATTATTTGAACTTTTGATAAATTAGAAACCAATACCTATATAATACTGCTTCAATCATGAATTTTTGAAAAACTGCTTGTCAAAAAATCCTATGTAGGTACGCTTTCATAAAAAGTATTTTATAAGCTACTTTTAAGCACAACAAAATATGTCGGTGTAAACACAGCATGACTTAAAGGATTCGAGGAAATTTCTTAAAACACTCCTGCTATGGAGAGACTCGTGGAATGGAAGTTTCCGAGATCAAAGCTTTCAATTGAGTACTTATGGTAGCATTCCATGTATTAGTCTTTCTATAAAACATAGTTACAAGTTTTAACCATTAAATTTGTTTCCATACTGCCCAGACACGAGCTATGCCGTGAACTGTGATATTTTTGTTCAAAAGTCTAGTCTTCTTGGTTTTAAATATTTGAGATGCTAGCCTTATGCCTTTTGACTTGTCACTAGTTTACCTTACATTGTATTCTATTCAAAAAGGTAAAAAGTAATGTTAGTATTACAACTCAGGATGTATTAAGCCCGTGTTTGGTCCCCATTACTTTCAAAATACATTTCTCTATTTTATTTTCAACCACATACTTTTCAATAAAATAATATTACATGCAAATCCAAAACTTTTCTAACCACACAACCCTTTTGCCTTCTTCTTATGATGTAGTTGTAGAGGAAGCAGCCATTACACTAGAGATTTGAACATATATGGACTTTACCTGGAATTTCTTTAGGATTTCTTTACCAAAGGGTAGTTCTTTTAGGCAGTGGATCGTACATTCTCCATCAAAATACTATTTTAAAATGCATTTTGGGCAAAGAAAGGGGCTCAAACAGGATCTAAATCCTGATCTAACAGAGCCTTTCCTTCGGCTGGCTGAGAATTGAAAATATTGATCACAGGGTACCCTCAATGGATTGAAAATCCATAATCTTGAATTGCTATACCTGTTTGAACAACTTCACTTAATCTTGTCTTTGTTTGATAAGAATCAATAGGAGGGGAAATACTAATCCCTCAGGCGTTTTCTAAAGTTGTAGGATAGCATGAAGGGGTGTACACCATTGTCATTTGTTATGCGGTCAGATTTGCTCATGCCTGTTAGATGCAGATTTACTATTACTCAGCAGCATTTGTGTCTTCAGGTATTTAGGCTCATACGAAATAATAGAATAGCAGTAAGAGGTCTAAACTAACAGATTTTAAGCTTTGGAATGTCCTATTCTGCTCTGCTGTAACTTTTGACCTAATTCTGACCGGTTTTAACTACTGTTTTTATTTTAAACTTTGCTGCGGAATTTGTCTCTGTGTATCCAAAAAGGTTTTTCAATCATTGGCCATTACAACTATAACCGTGAATTGCGTTAATTTTTTAAATGATTACCTTTCTGTTAAATTATGCTTGTATGAGTGCATACTGCTGTTTCTTCGGTATTGACCATATGATATTAATAATTCTCTTATGGCAACTTGCACTTGTATTTGACCTTGGTTTTAAATGGATTGCCAACGGTTATGCTTTTGCTTACTGTCTTAAACTTCAAGTCAAAAGATGCATTTGCATCTTCTTTATGCCCTGGAGTTTCCCAAAACTGAATTTGTTTGTAGTTGGAAGCTTCAATTGATGTTTACTAATCTAAATTATTCTAATAAATGATGTGATGATAAATAGATACGTACAAAGTAGAGTGGTTAAGGAAAGTGTTGTTGGTTTTTGGTAATGCTTTTGCTTGCTAAATTTGCTCAAGTATATGATTAAGTTTGTGAATGGGATATTTCTAGCTGGGACACTGGAGCAATGAACTGAGATTGTTGGCATTGGCACCTTTATTTGATGACATTAATATCTAGATATTTTTGCATTTTCTTAGGAGTGTTGAATTAGTTCATGGGAAATAAAACCAATTCTCTGTGCTTCAGTAGTCGGCAATTGGCATGCAACTTCTACAATAGTACTTCATTAATGTGTGAATTTGGAAGTTACTTTTTTCTTACATTTGACGTACAGAAAATTACTTATTTTATAAATAACTATTATCTTACTGTCAAAATAAGTGATTGACTTATTTCTGACTTTGTCCTACGAAAGGAACTGTTGTTTTAGAGTTACTTATAAGTAAAATTTTGGAACTTAGCCAGTAATGCTGTTGCTATGGTTCTTGAAGCTTTAGAATACGATTCCTACTCTTTGCTATTGTGACAGAATATGCTAAGACTTGTTATTCTATTAGCTCACGTATTATGTGCAAATATTGTTAAGCAAACGATAATGTATCTCTGATATAGGTTCTCAATCTGATCGTCGAGGACTTATTCCAAGGGCATCCAATGAGCCAAAGAAAGCTCAAAGAACTTCTCGGCCACACTCCGTCCCAGGTTGTTGCTGGAGCTCTGCTTGGAGTAGTGGTAGCTTGGATATGTTGTCGGGGTTGCTTGATTGCGAGCTAATTTACTCCCTAGGTAAATTAGTCGTACATGTAATACCAGTTAATGATACTTTTGTTCCACTGAGAAGCTTTGGTGTTTTTGTGAATGTCTGCAATGTTAAATGCATACAGAGGTTTTCCTTCGAACATTCACTTAATCATGCCATTTGATTAATGGGAACCTTTGCAAGATTGTTAGCCATGTCAAGTGGTATACAAGTTTGATTGCAATTATCCCGAAGGATATACCAAAGGCCGCCCGTCCAATATTGTTTACGAAACATGTATTTAGAACGAAATTTCCTGTAGTCTAATGAATTGCCAATGATTAGATAGAAAGAAGAAGTTACTAATTTTTATTGTAATGTTGAGTCTTGTAAATAGTAATGCATTATAGTTAACTAGCTACATTTATCATTGGTGCACGCCTTGTTTCGATCCATGGCGATGATTCGGGATAGGTTATATCAAAATGTAAGAAAAAACCATGATTGGACCGAATAATACAAAAGAATGACCAAACGAGATGACTATATCACCAACCATCATCATTGTTAATTTCATTCCTCACAAGGGACCTAACAAACATAAAACACCTAACTTGATGGCCAATTTACTTCAGGCGCAATTATACCACCCTTAACCCTTACTCAAATTCATCTGAATGTTAAACCTTATTATACACCAACCTCCTCCACCACCACCGCCGCCGCCCATAGCTGCCATCGCGGCCACCATTTCTCTCCGGTTATAAAGCGTTAACCCTTAAAAGGAAAAACTTACTTTAATCCCAAAGCAGCGTGATTGATGACGTGGAAAATCTCTTTTCTCGTTCTTGATAAAAAGTAGCAAACCCACTAAATTCCACTCTTTCTTTTCCGTCCTATAGATTTTGCCAAATTTCTCTCACTAAATCACTGTACAAGAAATGCAGCAACCTCAATTTCCTAGATCTGATGACCGTTATACGAAATCCAATCGTGGGAGTACGAATTTAGCATCATGTATAGTGGCGACTGTTTTTTTGCTGTCAATTGTCGCAGGCGCAGTCGCGGTTTACTTCTTCCTGTTCAAGCCCAAACCACCGAAAATCGCCGTCGACGCCGTGCAGTTCCCGGCATTCTCCGTCACGAACGGGACCGTCAATTTCGAATTCTTCCAGTACGTGACGGTGACCAACCCCAACCGCGACGAGTTTTCTCACTATGACAGCTCTTTGCAGCTCGTCTACTCCGGGGAGCCGATGGGTCTCGTGTTCATTCCCGCCGGAAGGATCGGTGGCGGTGGCAGTCAGAAAATGTCCGCCAAATTTGATGTCCAAAAGTACCCCCTCCCAACTCCGGCCAAAGCGGCGCTGAGCGGTGGTGATGGCGGATTAGGGTTCGACAACAGTAATAATTTCAACAATGCTGGAATGATGGCCGGGGACACAATGGAGATTGAGACTCGGATGAAGTTAGTAGGGAGGGTCAGGGTTTTGAAGGTATTCACACACAAAGTGGATAGTGGAGTTAGGTGTGGTGTGATAATTGAGGTTACTCGAGGTACCGTATTAGGCTTCCATTGCTGATATTTTTCGAATTCTTCGTGAAGAAGAAGAAGAAGACATTCTTAAGTTAATGTGAAGCTTTCTCTGCAGAAATTTGCAGTTGTATTTGTATGAATGCTAGATTGCTACAATGTGTGTAGTCGATTGAATGATGATTGTTAAAATTGTTGAGTGCACCAAAATTGTGTGCTTTCAACCAGTTGTAGTATTGTTTGCGATATCATGTAAAAATGAATGAAGGGATGTTTTTTCTTGCCAATTGAGTGTTTGCATATAATCACTTTGATTTGTATGTTTATGGAGTTTCCTGATTATGCTGCCCGTCAAGTTCTTGATGATCAGATTCAGAATTGTGGACGACTTGTAACGACTACGGACTTTTCCCTACAAACCACCATTAGCTTGGTTCGTCTGGGGACTATTTTGTGCACTATTAGCTTATGTACTGTTCACCACGATGGACCTAATCCCTAATGGACACTGAACAGTGAACAGCATGTAAGCTAACCGGGCAGACTTGAGTCCTGCATGGACTATGTCAGAACCTGGTCTGAATCCGGTGGACTAGGGTCGGTGTTGTATTGTTACACAACCAAGAAAGAAATTTAGAAATTCTTAGTTCGGATGATCATCAACACAATGTGTCAAAACACTTCTAGACAGGAAATGAACAGAGTTGAAACTTGTGCTGATTCACAAGTCCTGGTCATTGACAAAATCCTTTGTTTTATTGACACTAAAATTTACACAATGCTGAACATGAGTCAATAAGTAGTCTCTTGTCCGCTAGCTAAAATCCGATTCCAATATAACTGTACCAAACCTGAATTGAAATATATATCTTTATACAAGCGTTGGAACTAGGTTGGATTGTGGATATGCTAGAGGAGAAGAAAATGATCTGTGCTCCACTTGAAGCTAGAAGGCAGTGAAATGATCACATGTGCCACTTTGGCTCAGCAGGCGTTGTTCGTCCCTATTGGAACAAACTCAAAATTTATGCCTGATACTGCCAGCTCTCACGTCATTCATCATTTATGAACAAGATAAACATTTACCTGTAAAAAATGGGGGGTGGCCAGCAACCATGGACGTTGTGATTATCAAACTTCCTGGCAAGTCTTTGGCTCCATAACTTGAAGATGGCATAAGGGTACGAAATACCTTGGGTGGTCAGGCAACAATAAAGGCATTTTCATTTCCTAGAATTTCCATTTGAGCTTGTATGATGTAGCAAAGATTCTTACAATCAGCAGCAAAGATTCCTACACGATATTGCTTTGGATCCAATTCTAGTTCAGCAGCCATCTCTAGCGAATAGAAACCCACGCTCTGCTCACCATTTTCTACTATGTACAATTCTACGCACTGCAAAACAGAAAGACAATGAAAGAATTGATTTAGCATTCACTTTTGTAAATACTAAAACATTGTAGGAATTGCTCTGTTCAAATATATTCACATTGGAATGTTTGAATCAACACTAAGGGTAACTGGATGTAGTAATGTACTAGCACGAAGGGTAGATCCAGCCACCACAAGTAATCTTCTTCTTTTCCTTCAGCATATTCACGATACTTGCTGACAACAGCTTGAGGACCACACAGTTCCATTTCTCTTTTGACCTTGTCGAGTTTTTCCTTAACGAACTTACGACCCTTCTCGGGAATTTTGTCCATTATATCAGCTGCTTTCTTTCTCAGTGATCCATCTATACAAATCTTTTCCTATATCCTTCATTACACCTTTGACTTCCGCATCTGTCTCAACATTGTACGACTCCAGGAATCCTTGGTACCATTTCTTAGTGTGCTGCAAATGCTCCCTCCCAGGTCATTTGCTGGCTCTAAAGGAACCATCACTGCCTTCTATAAGCCCCTGTTTGATTCACATTATTTTTTTCATTCTCATTCTTCTACTCATTTTCAACCATACATTCTTCAATAAATAATATTTTTCATCACATCAATAATTTTTCCTTCTTTTTCAACCACATAGTCCCCATCACATCAACAGTAAAAATGTATTCTTACTCCCAAAATGTGCACCAAACAGTTCCGATATTCTGAGCGACATCTTTTGACCTAGTCTTATTGTAATGAGATGAAGGTTCTTCAGATTTCTGAAGGACATCTTGTTAAGTCTTCTTTAAGAGATGAATTCTTAATGCTTTCATCAACAAGTTCATTCTTTGTTCTATGAAATTTTTAGTGAACTCGGGATTCTTTTCTGCAGGGGGAACTTTCCACCGAGGTATTATTTTCTCCGGTGGATCATACAAGCTAATGCCATCTACAGTAACAAAAAGAAGTCACATTAGCGCGCCTATCTTATTGCATCGTAGTGGAAGGAAGGGGCGGATCCAGGATTTGAAACAAGGAGTGAATTCATCATACAAAATAATTAGCAAAATTATTAAATTAGATGGTTTCCAATTGAATACAATTAGATCTAAGAATAATCTATTTCACACATGCAATCTTATTAATAATCTAAACTAAATCATTACTTTCATATGAATTTGGACTAGGAGTAAGATCGTCTCGTATTAGTTATATGTTGATGTATCTTAGGAAAGAGCATTAAATATACTAGCTTTATCGATTATTAAAAATGCATGAATTGAATAAAATGATTATTAAGAATTGAAATATATGGAAATAAGGGATACATGAATCAAGTACAAGTGCTCGCATAAAATTTAATCACTTTTTTCTCTTTCTTAGAGTATAATTAGAATAAATAACAAACAATCACAACTCTTTTGATGTCACCACACTTCAAATTTAATAGTAGTTATTGAACTATAAATTAGACATTATTTTTCGTAGGAACGATACTCTTAACTCACAAATCGTATTACTTGTACAACGATTATGTACGCTTACGGGTTTCGCACTAACACATTGCCTGTCCATTATGGAAAGAACTCGCACTACCATCCTCCCCAGTCTCCATCACTATTATCCTCCGAAGAACCCTTTTGCTCAAGTTCCCATGCATGTTTCGCCATTGCTCTGATTTTTTCATTAAAATTCTTAGATTGAAAACCAGAATACTCCATTACTGCCAACTCATTATTCAATCCATTTGCCTCAATTATGTTGTTCCCAACTTCTTCCTTGTCAAGCTGAGGCCTCTTGAAAGATACACTTATTGGCTCTGTGGAATCCTACATAACTTCTACACTACCCTTCACCATTTTTCTTTCTCCATTCTAGCTTTCATCTTCCTCCTCAACATTTCCTTTTCCAATCTCGTTTATTCCTCACTATCATCCCCGGAAAGTGAAGAGTCCTTTAACTCTCCAAACCACAAATAAACCACACAATACTATAAACCCAACTCGACATTCTCAAAGTCATGCCGGATTTTATTGTTACGCCCTGAGTCACGTCTAAAAAACCCGATTTTCCATTTGGCATTACAAACTTCCCCACCGAACTATTCTTCAGAATCATTGTAGGTAAAAATTGATGTGCATAAATTATATTTCAATAACATACCTTTTATGTGCATACAATGGGACAAAATTTTGACTTCGTGAAATCGAATACGTAAAGTAAAAACGAGAAATACAAGAGTATGAGTTTGGTCGAGGCAAGAGTTTGACTCTTTCTACTTAAAATGATAATACTCCGCACGGGTGCTAACGACTTTTTGGCATTCGTTTACCAAGATGCATCGATCACGTCACGCAATAGGAGTACTCCAAATTACGTATGCCAACGAACTTACTTATGTTTTGAACCCTCTTTAAATGCTCAAAATTATTTTGAAGGGAATATGCATTATGTGATAATGCAATGACGACAAAAATATGAACGAAAATTCCAAACACATGGGTCTTTTATATGGTCGAAGGAAAGTCGTGCCTCAAAAGATACAACCTAATGAAAAGGCATATCTAAAAGGACAATTGGAAAATACATGTCCAAAAAGACGTCTCTACGATAAGAAGAATGTGATTTTTTTGAAAATATCATTTCGAAGAAGACACAATTTTTCATCAAAATAATTTCTAAAATATTCCATAATTTTTTCATCCAAATATCGTATCAGCTCCTTGAGGTCACTGGACCAATAATTTATGAATTGAGTTTAGAAGATCTTCACCTGTTGTTTCCGTTCAGTTAGTTTCTTCTGCGGACAATTTTTCGGTTTGTGGGTCTGAGAAAATGAGCTAAAACTTAGATTTTCTTCGAGCGGGGTGAACATAGTATAAATTGAGTGTGTAAAGATAGTTTTCTGGAGATGGGTATCAGGGTATGGTTACTCTTGATGAGTATTTCTTGTTTTCCATGTGGTGAAGGGGAAACTGGGGGATATAAATGAAATATCATATGATTTTTGATAATTTATGGAGACAGTAGAGTTCAATAACTCCATGGATATGAAGAACAAGAAAGTGAGCCCACAATGGTGCCTAAAACCTGGACAGGTTTTTAGGCATTTTAAGGAAGGTGATCATTTATCTGCAGCGTCAAATTTTAAATTAAAATAAAATTAATTTTTTGGTAAATTTCTAAAATAATTTCAAGAATTTTGCTTTTTGATACGTGCATAAATCCATCAACCGAACGACTCACGCCACAATTTGTGAACAACGTTAAAACTTAGTGTTCCACTTGATATGGACCCGGCCATGCAGCGTCTAAAGGTACCTTGTAGGAGTCTTAGACCATCCTTCTACCTACGTGGTCAACAAGCTTGACATGAACACACATAGAACTTTGTAGAGTACCGTGACTTTTTACCATTACTGTACATTTAGTAGCATGAACCATAGAGCATATAGTAATGTTGCGCCATGTAAATACTAAATAGAGAGAGTTCAGACTTTCTCAAGTTGTTACAAACTCACGTTCACAGAGTTCAACTTTCATCCTAAATGTGGCCCATTGAAGATTACTCACATAGCATTTGCGGATGATTTGATGCTATTTGCAAGAGGGGATGTTACTTCGGTGGTATCATGATGAATTGTTTATCTAACTTCGGAGACACGTCAGGACTAAGGATGAATGTTAACAGGTCTAGCTTGTATACGGTGGGTGTTCATGGGCAAGAGTTAGATGATATCCATGAATTAACTAACATACCCAAGGGATCTATGCCGTTTCGCTACTTGGGAATTCCATTTGAGGGAAAAATTGAAAATCAACTCTTATGACTCGTTTCTCAACAAAATATCAGTGTACATTTGTGCATGGTCAAGGGCATAATTGTCCTATGCGAGGAGAGCGGAACTTGTGAGAGTCATTCTTCAAGGTGTTGAATGTTTTTGACAGTCCATTTCTCCTATTCCAGCCACAGTTGCTTCAAAGATCATTAGACTATGCCAGAAAATTCCTTTTGAGGATCCAATAAACCGTTGGTTGCTTGGAGTAATGTTTGCTTATTGAAACAAGATGGAGGGCTTGGATTTAGGGACGTTAAATGCTGGAATTCAGCGCTACTTCCCAAATCCCTTTGGAATATTCATAGTAAGGACAAGCTTTGGATTGAGTGGGTAAATCAAGTTTACCTACGAGGAACCGGTATTTGGGTATGCAAGGCAAGGAAAAGTAACTCTCCTTTGCTCAAGAAGCTACTGGACATCCGGGATCAGCTTATAGGACCGAACATACTAACCAAGCTTTGGTTGACAGGCTGTCGAACTAGATAGCAACTAATGAGTTTTGCATTGCTAGCGCATATGAGTTTTTTACGCCGAAAGGGGTGAAAAAGACTTGGGCAGTGGAGGTTCGGGGACCCTACATCACTCCAAAACATTCTTTCATTTTGTGATTGGGTACACAATCTAAGCTTCTTACAAAAGAAAAATTGATGCATTTAAACATTGACAGAACTTGTGTTTTTTGTGATTCACATGCCGAAACGGGTCAGCACTTATTCTTTCAGTGTTCTTTGACTTCATGCACTTGGGGACAAATTAAAGCCTGGTAGGGGATAAAGAGATCGATGACAATGTTGCCCAGTGCATTGAAATGAATTAAAAAGGAAGCTCGAGGTACTTCTTGGCAATCCAAAGCCAAGAAAATTGCACTTGCCTGCATGGTCTAAGAAATTTGGACAGCAAGAAGCAAGAAGATTTTTGAAGATCTTAGGCAACAGTATGACAGCTTTGTTAGATGAATAAAACACGGGTATGCAAAATCATTTTTTTTTTGTATTCTCATGCTTTGATTCATTTTTGAGTCTCTAGTGTTGGTTCATTAGATCTTTGGCGTTTGTTCATCTTTTGATCACTTGTACATGAATTTTGATCAATACAAATTTACACTTACCGATAAAAAAAAAAAAAGTTCAGACAAAGAGAAGAAAGAGTAATATTATTCATCCCCAGTAGGGATGAAAACACAGTTTATATGGCTTTAAATGATAGGTTAAATGAAATATAAAATTAAATGACTTATTTAATTTTACCTATCATTTAATGCCACATTAACGTCACGTAGACTGTGTTTTCATCCCCAGTGAGGATGAATGGCATTACTCGAGAAGAAAATATACACTTGCTAGGCAGCTTTTGACAATATCTGTATTGAACTTGCACCGCACATCAATTGCAAAAATAAAAGCTTATTGATGAAGCCGAAACCTCCACAACATATACACTCACTTCTTGACAACGTTAAACATATCGAACCACTAATAACAATTAAGTGAAAGTTCGACATGAACACGAAAAAAGTGAAAAACAAAGCAGCATTTAACTGCATAGACTAGGTATACAAGCTCCATCTGGATTCTGGTTTTCCTTCAATATTTGCCCGGTTACACGAAGTTTAAGCTCTTTCCTATCTCCTCCCGAGAAAAAAAGTGCAATATTACGCTGTATAATGAGGCCGTCATG